TACTATGGGTAAACCAGCATTCATTATTGATTTGGTGCACAGACTCATAGTCTTGCACAACATGGTCTTATGAGTGGGCCGAAATGTTTTGTCAGTTTGGTGCACAGCTGCATTAGAGCCTCACTAATGCATCCTCTTTCACCTTTCTTATACATAGTGCCATGTTTTCCTAAAACTCTGAATTAATAACCAAGAATGAATAAATTGAATGGGATTAAAGCCTGAACGACAGTGACCCATATATGACTATTAGGTTGATGGAAGACACTCCAACGTAGCCCATTTAGCCAGCTCCATGTCATGTCTTCATACGACAGGCTTTTACTAAGCTCCTTAAGAGCCTGCCCCAGGGGATCTATGGTAGGCTAGAGGTACTGACTCAGGCCTTATCTCCACTAATTTACCCCATGAATTAGACGGGGCCTCGCTTCTGTGTCCTGCCAGACCCACACAATACTCACTCCATGTTAAGAAAATGAGGAGATAAAAGGGCTTTTCGATTGCTTAGTTGGATAAGGAGCTGGAGAATTGACGGGCGAAAGGCACACTCTGTCACTTCAACTTCACCTGGACGGTCACGTTCATCCCCAGGATTTAAAAAGTGTTGATTCCCTGTCTGTGTATTTTCAGGGTGGATTAAGCGGAATAAAATGCAATTTGAATCATAAGGATTAAGGTGAACTTCTCAAAAACAAACAGGCAGGGCTTCACCCCTGTCAGCCACAAAGTAAGGACAGAATGACTTTCTTTGTTCCTGTCAGGCTTTCCTTAAATATTTTTTTGACAGACATTTTAAAATTTAAATGAGCTGGCAAGCTACGGACGTGGACTTCTAGAGGACAGAAAGTACAGGACTTGGTCCGATCCACAGAAACTTATACATATATTTGAGATTTAGTTGTTTGTCATATCACACTGCATGTGCAAGTGGAAAGCAAACAACACCTCAGCGTGTAAACCAAAGCCACAGTCTGCAAATATCTGCAACAGTCTCACAAAATAAAATCAATTGAATGTAAACAAAACTTCCACTAGCGGCTTGAGTGGATTGATTCCTTTATCCCGGAGTTAAAAAGGTCATTCATGTCGTCTGCATGTTGCACATGAATGCTGAGTTTTATCCAAAGCTAAGCTTATGTAAGTCTAAAGTACAGCTTTGCATATGAGAGACACACACTCTCTCTCTCTCTCTCTCTCTCTCTCTCCCTATCTGTGCAGTCTCCCACCCCCCACCTCTCGCTGTTTCTCTCCATGTGATGCATTTTTAAAAAGTCTCCTTTAAAGAGGAAAACAATCAAAAATAGCTCCTCACTGCTGCTGCATGTTTGGTTACGTCTCGGATTTTAACTCAGCCGGCCTCGTCCTCGGTCTGCGTGCTATTGAGTGTAAATTGTCTAATTAATAAATAAATAATAAATAGATAACTTCTGGCAGACAGTGAGTGGAGGCATACTGTGTGACATCTGCTTTGCAGTTAGAATGGCGATGTCCAAAAGAATCTTGTTTACTAAGCAGACATTGGTCTTTGGCAGGGAAACCTGTTAGTCAGGGGAGATGTTTTTGGGCCATGAACAATGTAAAATCTCTGTTAAATATGTTATGTGCAGTAGACTTGAGGCGTATCTTTCTGCCTCAGGCCAAAACCATTTTGTTAGTCAAACAAAGACACTTTCATCTTTTCACAGATTTAACAAATATGTCTTATTCATTATTAAAACGAATATGACACAAGTGCATCTGGTGAATTGTCGCTCGACTCGAGTAATTTTTAAAATAAACAATCTGGGTATTTTTCAGCGATTCTCTCACAAAAGGTGTGATTTAATGATGATGAAAGCCTATCCTCCTGAACAAATACTCAGAGACAAGTTTATCCTCTTTCATTAGTCACCGTACATCTGTGTGTGCGTATGGCCAGATTATGAATGAGCGCATTTGACACGTCATGATACACAGTTTGACTTGGGTTTAAAAGATTTTGCCGTTCGTTGCCTCATCAGTTTCTCAGAGCTCTCTGCTCTGCTCTGCTGCTATTGTGTAGGGCAATTAAAAACCTGAATGACTCTGAATCATTTACACTGTAAGTGGTAATAAAGTAAAGACTGGATTCAGTTTCTAAATGAATCTCTTCTCTTGTGCCAACAAGAGGCAGTGGTTAGTTTAAAGAAAGTCTGTAAACTGTCTGTTTAGTAAGACATTTCTAAACTGTGTGTTTTTTTTTTTTTTGTGAGCATCATCCATCAAGGCCAATGCAGTCATTTTGTTTGCTTGGTAATGTGGTGGAAACTAATCTGCATTAAATCCAAATTCTCCACAACTGCCTTTTTCGTTTTTTGTGTGTTTGACATTGCAAAGTTGTGAAAACAGTGCTGGAACAATGACAGGCTTTTCCCCGGCTGTAGGGTAGCCAGCGATAGGACATATTTTCAGAAGGTCAGAGGTATCCATTTGGGAAATTATTCAGCTCCTGCTCCTGCTGCTTCACGACAACACGTCAAACACAATGAAGAATATTAGAAAACACAAATAACCTTCCGCAGCCTTTCTCATATGTGCAACACACACCTCTGCGTATACACTGAGGAGCACGCGCCCTCACACACCTCCTCGACCCATGCGTCTGGATGTGAGAGCAATAACGAGAGCACGCTGAAAGAGAAACTGAAGGCTAAAGAACAAGAGGCCTCTTGGGCCGGAGACCAATGAGTGGCTCATCCATGTTAAGTCAGGCCAAGACGTACTCAGGTGTATTCACGTTAGGTCAGGAAGAAGCCTTGCTGACCTTTGCAGCAGACAGGGAGTCTCATGGAGCTTTTCTCGAGCAGTCCTGAGACGCACAGGGTAAACAACAGACTCAATGCTGCACTTTCAAATGTGTGTGTGTGTGTGTGCGTTTAGGATTGTGTTAGTCCATGGTGTCCGTCAGCGATCATATGTTGACCACTTCTTGATGGCCCAACCCTTCCAGTCAAACCTGTCTGTCAAATGAACGCAGTCAGGGGGCCGCGTTCTCTGTAATTATTCTCCTGCAGTGTTTTCATTGTAAATTAGGGCTGCCATGATTGTTACACAGATCAAGCACAACCCCAGAAAAAAGCAGGGGGTGGGGGGGGGGGGGGGTGAAGAGGGGAAGAATGAATATTAGAACAGCAGGGAACTTGAAAAAATATCACTTTGCTGGACTGGAATACAAACATAGAGGGGCCTGAGAGAGAATTCACAAGCAGCAGCAGCATGCATAATCCTTCACATGATATTGAAGGAACACACATACAATATAAATGAACACAATTTGCCAGCAAATCAAATCAAAATCCAAAGAGTCCTAATCAAATTTCATAGGGTTTTAAATGTGCTCAACAAAAACTAGGAATTCTATGTGTCTGTGTTATTATAACCCATTAAGGACTTCTTTCATCAATAGTGTGGAACGCATGCCAAATAAAACGCTGGATCATTTCCTAAATGCTTAGGTTTCAGGGACACATTGCTTATTCAACCAATCACCATGACAACTCTCGCTTTACATTTTTTACTCGCTCTTCCCTTTTCTGAATTCAACTCTCACAGTTAATCATTCTTCCCACCACCGACTACAATGAGACTATTTATCTCCAAGCTCGTGTCCAGGAGTTTCACAATGAGAGAAAGTCGACACCAGTGGCCTGCAGGATCATCACTGTGCTTTAAATTTAGCACTAAACTCCCTCCCTCCCTCCACGAGCAGCTTCTGCATCTGGTCTCTACAGCTTTTCATAGGAATAATAAAGATGGAAAAGTGAAGTTGTTTACTACCTTTTTTTTTTCCAGCAGTCATGAAATCAGTCTAAAAGATCAATGTCAGCATGTGATGAAAAGAGGTAGATTCATAGTTTACTACATCAGAGAGAAATTCAGTGATGCACATGCGCCACATTAATAAAATATAGTCCTTTGAGATCACTCTTTTCGTCACTCTAAATGAAAATATCCTTCAATAACCAGGGAAACTCTCATTGAAGCTGATGCTGTACAACCACGCATCTACACTGAGCAAGCCAGTTATTCATCCATGAACTTCCCAAGAAATCAATTCATGAGCAAAACTTAAAAGAAGAATTGTAACATGGGGATCCCCACGTATATGCCTGTGGCATATTATCCAGCTACCCTCACCACAAACAGATGGGAGTGGGGTATATATATTGCTACAAACCGGTGGAAGATCCCACTCTTATGAAAAATAAAATCTATGATCTGGTGTCACTGTCACCGATTTGATTAAGCAATTCGTGTTTTAACATCCGGTAAACTTAAGAGTTTTTCATTTCATCTGCGAGTAAGCAAGTCAACGGGCTATTTCATTTATGTTCTACGGAGGGAGGGAGAGAGCAAGAGAGAGAGAGAGAGAGAGAGAGAGAGAGAGGGAGAGGGAGAGAGGGGGAGAGAGAGAGAGAGGGAGAGAGAGAGAGAGAGAGAGAGAGAGAGAGAGAGAGATTGCGCGTCACTGCTCCATCACGCACACAAGATGTCTTTATGGCCAAGTAACAAGTGCTCTGAACAATTATCACAAGCTTTTATTTTCTGCAATGACGTTTGCAGCGCAGTGGTGTTGTGACACGTTACATATGCCGGTGTGGGCAAAAAAACACACACACACACACACACACACACACATACACACACACACACACACACACACACACACACACACACACACAGCATCCAAATCCCCTGCCTCTAATAAGACTCGCCGTAGTCCGTTCAAGTCACAAAATCCAAATAGGTTTGGGAAGTATACGTGCTGCTTCGTGCGGGTTTACAGCTCTGCGTCGATGTAGCGCCACAAAAAAAGCACAGTTTATTTTTTCAGGAAAATAAATATAAATATAAGTCTTCCAATTTCAATCCAAGCAGCCCGATGTGCCCATTTCTCCTGCAACCTCCTAAGTCACTCACCACGCAGACAGCCTTAAGATTTTTTCCCCCAGCTGCTCAGCAAGTATCATGAAATGACTCACCTGCCTTGTCGAGATGTAATTCCCCCCATGCCTTGTTCTGTGAAAATAAACAGCCGGGACTATGTTTCACTGTTTCGGGGTCTTCACTTGCAGTCGGGTACGTACTCCAAATATCCGTATAGTCTGCGCACTGCTTATGTTTTTCGGGAATGACCTTCCTGTGAAGCGATAACGGCTCTCATTATCCTCGCTCCGCTGTCATTTCAATGCATTTCTCCCATGTTATGTTTTTTTCTTCTTCTTCTTTTTTCAGCGGGAAGCTCTCCTCCTAGTCCTGGTGCGTTTTGATGCTTTTGCCTTGACTCCTGGGCTCAACACGAGCTTCGCGGGGGCGCGCAGCGCGATCCCGGCTGGATATTCGGGAGCGCCGACTGGAGATGGAGAAAAGAGTTACTAGGTAACCAAGGGCACACGCATCATACATGAAAAGGAGCGAAGGATTTATGGCTTCCGACTACGCTCTGCCCTTCTCCTGTGCCTTCTTTGACAGCTCATCAAAAATGGGCGTTTTTAATATTTCAGTGATGGGCCACGCTTTAGTGTCTATGTCACAAAAACCCTACATCATCCTCTTAAAGGCTTCAATCTGCTCGGGGCTGAGAGTTGGTCCTTTGGAGAATTTCTTAAATTTGCAGGTATTACATTTTGTAGGAATTTCCTTTAAAATCAAGAATACATTTTACTAAAGATAAAGTATTTACAAAGATCACACAAGGTTAAGAGCAGAGAGGGGGGATTTTATGAAGCTGGAGAAAAGTAATGAATGAAAAGAGGCCACAGAAAAGTTCCTTAAATGCTAAATAGGCTATTTAAAAGCCTAATAACCCACAGTGCAGTTTTTTTTTCAGGGAGGAAGTTTGAGGTTGATCTTGAATTCCTCACTCAATGAATTAATTCTAGTCTATTAAAGCTACTCCACAACCTGTATTTTCCATGTTCATACACCTTGTGAACCAGAAAAGAAATGTAAAGTAATCAAAGGTTTGCCTGTTGGGACACATTTTCCCATAATGCAACTTGATTGACATCAGAGTAATCTTCTTCACTAGTACCATCACCATACACTGGTTTGAGTGTCTCCCCACATGACTATAGTGAACTGTTCTTCATGCCTTTAAATTGGTGAACTGCCCCTTTAATATCCAATTGATTAAAAAAAAAAAAAAAAGAAAAAAAAAGAATGTGAGATAAGAGGATTACATATCAGCTGGTGAGGGATAATTAGGGTTTTCAAACATTTTGTTAAAATGGTTACATTAGCAGTTCCATACTTGATTTTTAACAGCCTCAGCACTTTATGTATAATATATTATTTGTAGTTAGCTTCATTTTGATTTTTATCAGTGCTGGAGTGTGAACAGGAGCACCGTACCTTGCAACAAGGTCAGCCAAAGCTCCTCAGTCCACTTATTCTATTTCCCAATTTTCGGGGTCAAGTCAATTTTATCTATTTAACAAAATCACATTTTGGCCTAAGAGACCTTTACAGACTGCACAATACGCTCTCTGTCCTTTTAGCCCTTCATTCAGATATGGAAAAACTACACACACACAAAAAAATGGAAACATATCAGGAAGAGCAACAGAGAAGGGATTTCTCTTCCAGAAGAGCCAGATACACTATAGACATCTTATATGCAGGGTAAATAAATGTTTTTTTTATGTAAACAGCTTTCATGTATTTGTGAACATAGCTCCTCTAAACTGTGCTGCATCATGTAAATACTCTTGCAAAACAAAAAGTAACAATTACTTGAAACATTACTGTTAATCTTAGACCTGCAGCAGCCAAATGACACTATAGGGCAGTTCATCCCTCCATATAAGTCTGCTCCCTTTATTGACATTTTTAAATCTTGGTTGAAAACCCATCTCTTCTCCTTGGCCTTTAAATCCAATTGAGATCAATATTGTATCATCCCTGCTTTGTCTTTCTGTGTCATCCCTCTGTTGTCCTTGGGTCTGTTCTGTTCTGTTTATATTTTTTGTTATGTGTTTCATTCACTGAGGTTGTCCAGCAATTTGGTCGACACTGTTTTTAAATGTCCTCTATATATGAAGCTGAAATCACTTTTGCAGTGAATTAACACAGTGGCCTTTTTTTTCCTTTTTTTTTTTTTTTAATTCCTTGAAGCATTAAAAGGAATTCTTTATCAAGATCCGGATAAAAATACATTTCTTTATCCTGAACACATTTTAGGACAGTTTCAATGCAAATAACAGCACCGCTTTTAAGGTTGAAACACACAATTCAAACCCTAAACTGGGTACTAAAATATAGCACAGCAGATAAGTAATAGCAAGTGACCAGTGCAGGTCTAAATAGAGGCAGGGTCACTGTAATCCAATTTAGCAATTTAATGCAGCAATTACAGCCATCCTCCATGTACAGTCGCCACTCACACCCTTTTTAAGTTAAAGGTGCACGCCAATCACTGAAATCAAAAGTAGCAGCATTCACACACTGTATGACTGTTAATGGCTCTCTGCGTAGAGACCACTCACTTAGCCAGAGAAGTGTTTCCGATGTTTCACAGCTGAAGTGTAAGGGACTGATTCCAGAGCTGCTATTTGTTTTACCAGCATTCAACACTCATACAGTAGGAATATACCATGAAGAGGCAGGGATACTGATACCAAAACCACAACTTTGACTTAAAGAAATAAGTTTAGTCTTGATCTTTAAACAGTAATAACATCAAACTTACAAATAAAATTAAAAAAAAATGTAAAAACCTAAAATTGCAAGGGTATCCACAACTTCAATGTCCAATGTTGCAGACCACAGAAGCAACATGTGGAGGCCCATGTTTCAGAGGTAGGTACAGGCGACTCATTCATACTCACAAGGACAATTTTTCTCTCAAGGGGAGAGTCAGCTCAGTCGCAAACAGATGAATGGCGTGCCTGAGGCGGCTGGATGGGTTAGTTCAAAAGCATGCTGCAGAATAATATTTATGCCTTAGGAGACAGTGTGTGCATCACAATGTCAAAATGCAGGCCTGTCGGCTCTCCATTCACTGTCCCACAGCCTTTCTCCCACATATTCTCAAATCTTCCCAATATCAGGAGTTTTAAAACACTGAATGGTTTCTAAACCTTTTTGTCTTAAATTGGTGAACACCAAGTTAATTTGTCCACAAGGAAAGTGGGGACGGGGATGTAAGAGAAAAAAAAATCATAATCATAAATCATTAAAAAAAAAATCTAACTCAAACAAAATAGCCTGTTTGATAATGTTCAGTCAATCAACACAACATGAGGGTAGAGCATTTAAAACAGGTGGAGGCGACTACACATGCAAAATACTGCAATATTTCAAAGTGATTGAGTTCCTTGGTTGATTGATGGTGAAATTGCTCTTGCTTTTAAGTGCTTTCATGCCATTATGATTTACAAATATCACACAAAACAAGGATAGACTGCCAGGAAAACAATTTTGTTCGCTAAAGAAGAATTCCATGTTTGGATACAATTGATTATAATTTCTCGTCTAGTTTATGACAGTTGTCATTCGTGAAGGATAAAATGTAGCCGAGGTGGGGTAAAATCAGATATAATAATATATAATAATACATGATATTAAATCTTCAGTTTTCTCTGGCCAGATGTTAAAAAGTAAATTAAAATGACCTGTGTTAAAAAAAAAAAAAAAACATAACACAGGATGCACAGAGCAGTCAAAAAAAAAAAGAAAAAAAGTAGAGCACCAAGAAAAACCAAACATGGAACAACAAAGCTCAGATCTGTCAAATGCTGTACAGTCAAGATTAAGGAAAAATGCCAAGCAGGAGACGGGAGAGGGAAAAGATAAATAAACAAGACAGGCCAACAGGACGAGAGAGTCAGCAGAACAGTGAAGAGGACATCTGACAGTCTGATGACCACAACTGTACGTCAATAAAGAATCACTTCAGCTGCACTGTAAAGGAACAGCCTTTAGAGTTTTAAGAATTTATCGTTATAGTACTAATAAGATTATCAGTTCCATTTGTATGGCACCTTGATAGTATCCTCTATAATGGGGAACATGCACTTAAAATTGTTCTCCAAATCACAGAAAAAAAACTGCACCTGGACAGTAACATGATATCCTACCACTTTCTCTTAACCAGCCTATGATGTAGACCTCTGACACTCAGATCAGAACAAACTGCAAACATAAGAATGTGATATAAACTGCCCAGTGCTGCACAAAATATCAAGCCGGCAAGTTTTGGCCACACACTCACTCTATCTGCAGTTGGGTTCTTCACTCATTCGTTGTTTCTGTAGCAATATTGTTTTGGTTTATAAGTATTATATTGGGCTGCACGGTGGTGCAGTGGTTAGCGCTGTCACCTCACAGCAAGAAGGTTCCGGGTTCGAGTCCCGGCTCAGTCGCGGGTGGGTTCTGTGTGGAGTTTGCATGTTTGCGGTACTCCGGCTTCCTCCCACAGTCCAAAGACATGCAAATGGGGACTAGGGTGATTGAATACTCTAAATTGACCGTAGGTGTGGCTGTGAGTGTGAATGGTTGTCTGTCTATATGTGTTTGCCCTGCGATGGACTGGCGACCTGTCCAGGGTGTACCCTGCCTCTCGCCCGAAAAGATGCTGGGATAGGCTCCAGCCCCTCCCGCGACCCTGCTAGAGGATAAGCGGAAGAAAATGGGATGGGGGACTATTATATTGTTGAGTAATAACATGTTTGACTGCAACCCAATATACTTTCTTTAGCTTTAGCTTTAGTAGTTTATCGTATTTCATCCGTCAGGGCGCTTGAGCTGTAAATTCTGAATTAAAAAATACAAACTGTAAACTAGCTTTGGGATCACAGTCTTGGCCTTATTGACGCCAGGTAATGCAGAGCCAGACTATGTTGAAGTTAGACCCCAGGAGGAAAAAACAAGACTACAAAGGGTATGTCGCACAAAAAACCCAGAAAAAAAGAACATTCTGTGACGGTGACAGTCCCTAATGAACAAAAACATAATTCACTTCAGAAAAGCATCTATTTGATCCCAACACTGAAGCCTGCTGATTATTTTTTCCACTTTATTACAGTCTATCATTAAGACAAAGTGCACTTAACACAGTCGTCAAACAGTCTAGAAAAAGCTTCTCTTTTCAAAACGTCGCCTCTTGTTGCACAGCGATGGAGGAGGAAGGCAGCAGCTCCCGTGACAAATCCCTGCTGAGAAAACTTCAGTCACGTAGCTGCTATTCTTTTAGAAGCATGTTTTATAGTAAGAGTGGACCTGTTCATCTGACATTTATTGATGAATCATCATGGAAAGCATAGTGATACCAACGCTTTACTTT